ACAAATGCCGAATGTTTTCTCTGATATAAGGAGACTGGTTCATAGTGGAGTTGGGAGGGGGAGCATGGGAAGATTAGACAAACATCACTATCCTAAGTACATATATGAAAAAGGCATGAATGGTGTGAATATACTTTGTATACAAGCAGAGAGATGAAGAATAGTGCTCTACATATGTAATATGAATTGTAATGCATTCTGCTATCATATATAACGAATTAGAATAAAAAAATTAAAAAACAAAATAAAAAAACATAGAAGACTGAGCAATAGCTTGTAACAACTGGGCCAAATATGGGAGGGTTTTTTTTTGTGGTGCTGGGGATTGATTCCAAGGCCTTGTGCATAGGAGGCAAACACTCTACCAACTGAGCTATGTCCCCAGACCCCAAATATGGACTTAATCTTTAATCCCAGAGAATTTATGTATGCTGTTATACTTAGGCTGAAATAAAAATTAGTAATTGTTTGAAAAAAATGGGTATTTTAAATCAATTATCTGTTGACAATTTAAACTTTAAAATTAAAAGAAAAATTTTCCTTTGTGGATTAAAAGTCTTTGTACATAGCTGGGCATATTGGCACATGTCTGAAACTCCAGCAATTCAGGAAAAGCAGGAAGATCCTAAGTTCAAGTGCAACCTCAGCAATTTAGTGAGACCTGTCTCAAAATTTAAAAAACTATGCATGTATGTGATAAAGATTTTGATAAGTTCAAAAGGGTAAAAAGTAGGTTTTGTCTTCCCCAAAATCTGTTCTCTAAGCTCCCAGTCTCCCTTTTCCAGATGTATCTCTTGTTACCTTGCATCTATAACTGCTTGGTATTATCAACACCCTAAAAGTCATCAGCGCAAGTCCCAAGGATGCTGGGTCACTAGGCAGAGACTTCCTGGCACCTGAAAAGGGTGAATAAAGTTACATTACACCATATAATTTTGTTGCCAAATACCATCATAGGCTGTTTTCTAGTTGCCAGAGCTAAGTTACCCAGTGCAAGAAAAAGCCTATAGAACTTCCTTTATTTTTCATTACTCCTTTTCTTCTTTCTTTTCCCCAATAAATACCTAATGAATGTCTATTATGTGATGGATTCAAATGCTGGAGATACCACAGAACAAGACAAGACTCTGCCTCAAGACATGATTTGGGGATATAAACAGGTAAATAGCAGGGGACAGCATGCCACTGGACACACGTGACCCAGTTGTATGTATGTATGGGCAGGAACTCCATGAATGTGTGTGTGTAACTTGGATATGTCTTCTCTCTCATCTGGTTTCCCATATGAAAAAATAAGAAAACTCAACAATGGAGTGGATCCAAGATAACTATAGTTCTGTAAATTTGAATCTGCATTATCTAATGTGATGGTTAATTTTATGTGTCAACTTGTCTAGACTACAAGACTCAGTTGTTTGATTAAATCAATCAAGATGTTGCTATGAAAGTACTTTTCACATATGATTGACACTGAATCAGTAGACTTTGAGTACAGCAGAAGTGGATTCATAATGTAGATGGAATTCACCCAATCACTTGAAGACCGTAAGTGAAAAGACTGAGACTTCTAGAAGAGGAAGGATTTCTGCCTCCAGGTGGAGGACTCAAGAGGACAACATCAATTCCTGCTGGCTTCCCACGCTGCCCACTAGCTTCAGACTCACCAGGCCCTGTTAACATGTGAGCATGGGAACCTGTCCCTCCCCCTCCCCTGTCCTCCACCAGTGAGTTTGGGGATGAGGTTTGATTCCTATAAAATGAAGGGTTGATCTAGGTAAGCAGATCTCATCATAGGCTGCTCAGTAAAACCACCCAGGAGCTTTAGAAAAGTATTAATGTCTGGGCCTCATCACTGGCCTGTTAACTCAGAAACTACTTGAGAGAGACTTGGGTATAATTTCATTTTCAAATTCCTTAGGTGATCCTCATGTACAGCTAGAGGGGGAAAACCAGTGATGTGCCAGGTGAAGTTATTAGAGGGCAACGCTGGCATCACCTGGTAGCTCTTTATAAATGAGTAATCCCTACAACTAGAATCAGTGCTTCTCAAAATTTAACATGTATACAAATTACCTGGTGGAACTTGTTAAGTTGTAGAATGGGGCTTGCAATTCCACAGTTTTTTTTTTAAAAAGCCTGAGTACTCTTGATGCTGTGATCCCCTAAAATATAAGGCTAAGAATAATTTCTCAACTTCCTAGAAAAGGCAAACCATAGCTCACAAAGATGCTAAACTGGAATTTTAAATTGAAATGCACAGTAACATATGTATTTCCTTCTATCTTACAAAGTCATTTGAGTTTTTTCTTCCTGTTTGAAATTAATAAATCTTTCCAACTTTGCTTACCTCTATTCTTTTCATTTGGGGAGGAGAATGGTTTTTTCTGGTTCCTAGGTTATTGGGCCTCCACAGATCCTTTCACAAAGGCATTTGGGACATGAGGAAGGCTCTATAACTGAAGGACTGATTTCTTTATTTGGATCATAGTTAAGTGTGAAGACTAAGTTTCAAGCATGAGAGTTTTCCACCAGA